GCCATAGATGTATAAAGAGGGGGTTAAGCCTCGAAGTTAGCAACAAGTCTGGCTCAGGCTCACTTAAGTTAGGCTGACCTTTAATAGACTAGCTATTTTCCTTTTAGTGACAAGCCTATTTTTCCCTTTCTTTTTTTTTGTGTTACCCAATAACAGTATTTGGTCAACATTTTGTTGTCGGTTAATTGTTAAAATCCCACACAAATACTATACTGGAAAAACTATAAAAGTGCTGTGTAAATGTTGGTTTTGTATGGGGGTGGCACCAGCTCAGTCTGTAGGGACTTGAGAACCAAAGGGTTGCCAGTTCAAGTCCCGATCAGACCAAAAATGCAGAGTGTGGACTGTTAACTGGAGAGGTGCAGGTTCACCTCTAAGGTGTCATTGAGCAAGGCATCGAACCCCTAACTGTTCCCTTCCCCCGGAAAACCTGGCAGCCTGCTTGCTTTGGCACCTCTCCAGAACAGAAATGCATGTGTGTTTGTGTGTATTCAGACCTAATGTATAGGTCCTGTGCATGTGTGTAACGACTTTGTATATATATAACAGAGACCAGTATATTTTACCTTGGGGATTAATAAAGGATCTTCTCTTCTTTAAACTTTGTGAGCAATAAAATAAAACACATTTTATTTTTAGCTTCTCTCCAATTACACTCAAAGCTCATGAACACCAAAATGAAAAGAACAACTTCCAAAACTCTTGAAATGGGACCTTCTGAGTTGCACGTGAATGCACCATTATCCAGCCGTTTCTCTTGACCCGAGTGCGATTCAATTGGCCCTCATTTGTTCATTCTGTGCTGTTGCTGCAGCTGCCTTGACTTGAGTCCCTCATTAACGTCCTTATTAAAGACATTCATTGGTTGTCCCCCTTCCTCTATTTTGAGCAACTTCACCAGTGTAGAAGGCAGCGTGAGTCATACCTTATGGTAACAGCTTGGATAAGTAAGGGTTAATGAGCACACAGAACATTGTTGTTCAAAAAGATGTGTTCGTGCATTTTTGCCCAACTCTACTCTGTGTGCATATGTGCGTGTATGTGTCCACATCTGTGTCTGCTCAGTAGTGAAAAAAGAGAGATAGTTCGGTTTATTTATGTAAAACGCAGAGCCTGTTCTCCATCAGCACAGATAGGGTGTGAACGCTGCCAACTTTATGCTTTATCTCTGCTGTCTGTGACCCTTTGAGTCTGTAAGACAGGATAATAGATTGGCAGAATGGCCCGCTGAATCACAGTGACACAAACAACACAGTGGAACTACAGGAGGAGAGACAGAGCTGTTTGAAATCATCACTGCTGTCGTATGTCGTCTATCCCTTCTGTATTGGCCCAACTCCTGAGGGAGATACTTTGCATCCAACATACACAGTGCAGTAATACAAACCGTAGATAACCCATGCTATAATGAAATAACAATCACTGTGAGGGGAAAGACAGCTGTGTCTGTTCGAGCAGACGCTAGCAGTTTATTGATGTAGGATGGCAGAGTTTTGCTCTGAGTCATCAGCGCTCCAAGATCTGATAGAATCATTAACTACAACGTAACAAACCACAGAACAGATAAATACAATTCAATACCATGTGGATCACAGTGAAGAACCGCAGAACTTTGGAAAAGGAGTTCCAAAACGCTTTGGTTTTAGCCAAATGACATTCCCTTATGCTCCACTTTGTGTTTAATCCAGGCTGAACTGAATCCCCCTGAAAATAAGCTTTGATTCATGATCAGCTCAAAGCAACGTGAAAATACAAAATCAGCAAAACGTATAGGGATAAGCAGTTTTTTATAAAGCGGGGGCTCATTACACACATTACTGGCTTACAAAGACATTAAGGGAACCAAAATTGCAAACCTTTTGAATTGAAACCATTATGGTATAGGCTTTTAAATCCCATTTTGGACATAGACATTTTTTGTAGTAGTAGACTATACAAATAAACTTGACTTGAGTGTAAGAAGTATAGACCAACTGATTTTTGAGAGTGATACAGATATGGATATTGATGTATCTGAAGTTGTTTTAGATGGAACTATGTTCAATATATCTACTTTGTGACATTTTACATTTGAACCTACCTTGGAAGACAGATCATTTTGGTTGATTGGTCTCATCTGAAATCTGCTTGACAAACAAAGCCCTCATAACTCTGATATTCATCGTATTCGAGAGGCAGTAAAATTGACAATACATTAGCAAATACTTTCAAACCAAACTATCTTTATAGCTAAACTAGAACTATGAGTTAGGGCGGTTGTTGGTTAAAACACAAAGCCTGAGTAGGCGGCTAATATTCTAAAAAAAATCATCTTACTACAGATGCCGCCCCTTGTTTGTGTATTATACCCGATTAAATTATCCTTTGTAATCAGATTTTCCAATAAAAAAGTACTCGTGATTTGAGCCCATAATTGATATCAACATAAGCATCTAGGCTTTGAAGAGACATTTCAGTCCGTACTGTTGCACGTCCACACTAAGCCTCATTCACTGTTTACCAGCGGTGCTTGTGGTGTACTGAGGTCGATCCAACATGCAAAGTGATGCCATGTGGTTCCATGACAACCTACCATTTGAATGTTCCTCGTGATTGTTGCAAAAAGCCTTTACAGTAGAGTCGGTTAACTTATCGTGTTAACTTTCCCACGTACAGTAGCAACAGGAACAAGAGGTCATTAGGTACATGGGAGGATCAGAACATGATAAACTCTTTCTGTCAGTCAGAAAAGCTGTGGAATGAAGGGAGGATCACAGTCTCTGGGGATCAGGGGAGAGGCGTAGTCACACAGAGGGCGAGAAGGAGAGAAAACACGAGTTGAAGGGGTGAGAAAGTGGGAGATGATAAACAGAGATGGACAAGAAAAGACACAGGTCGAGGGATAAGAAATTAATCAGATGGAAAGAGTGAGAAAGACGGCCCAAAAAGGAAAATGAGTTGCACAAAGGGAGACATAGAGGCAGAAAGAAAGACTGACAGATGTAAAGACAGAAAGAAAGACAGACTTGAAGACAGACCGAGTTAGAAAAGCTGCTGATTGACATTCCAGCATAAAAGGAACTCCTTGTACGCTCCAACTTTTATCTGTAAATCCTTCATGGCCCTGCCTCAGATAATTCTGAGAGTGACACTAATTGGACATAATAACCACCGGGGAAATAGCAGTGGATGGGAATTCTGGGTAATATGAAAATGATGATAGAAAGCGACTGAAGGACGGCTGTGTCTTAAATATATCTGCTGTTGTTATTAAGAGAGGTCAAGGGAGTTCAAAGGCAGGGGGACAAATTGAAGCAAGGGGGGGGGAGTGTGTGGGAGTTTGTGTGTTTCTCATAATTATGTCCCTTTGAGTTTGACATAGTGTTTGTTGAATCTTGACAGTATCCACTACACAGGGGATATTTTTAAATGTGTTTTTGGGCAACAGGCAGCACGAATAGGATTGAGTTTAAACATGACTTAATCTTAAGCTGCTATGATCAATGTATTTTTTTATTAACAATGGCTCAACTGTAATATAAATTGTTGCACATTGTAGTGATTAACCCACTGCTATTTCAGGCACAGAAGGCAGTTGTTTTTCCGTAAAAACCCATTGTACGTCACAGGACAGACAAAGCTGGTAACTGGTGGACATGGTGGAGCATTTGGCAGCTCTGAGCTTGATATTTCCCTCAGGAGTTGGTGGAGAGGGAAAAAGTACTTAAAAGGGAATGAATATTCCACTTACATTTGCTAAATTGTAGAAAACAGGGCTCCAAATAAATGCTCTGTGTCTGCTGGATGTGTAAAACATTTTTGTGTTACCTATATCAACCTGGCTGGCCACCAAATCAATGATGATTCTTACATTTACATACTGTAAGATTAAGAGTTTAACCTCTTGCAGCAAGGGAGTTTTAAAAAAATAGGTTAGCCAACAATCTAAAATACATAATTTTCCCCTAACACCTAACCCTAATGCTATAAATCCATCCATAGACTTGGATTGTGTAACTAAAATATGCCTGAAAGAACATTAAAAAAACTTACCAGCAATGTGCCTTTCCAGAAATCATGATCCATTCACTTAAGATATTCAACAGTTGTGTGTATATGGTTTATTGTAGGAACTACTTTCTTTCTACCAAACTACACCCAAGCCTTTTTCCGATGAGTTAATCCACGTTTGGTTCTATATGCATTGAAATGGCATGTGTAGTTTGGTTAGAAAATAAATAGGTCATACATGAAACTGCTCTCAACAAGATCTGTGGATTATCTTGATTTACTGGGATGGACTTTACTGTTGAATTTTTCAAATGTATTTCTTGGAGGCTTTCAGAACCACAAATGGAGTTCAATTGCATTGGAGAGAAAGCAGATCTCTATATCAGATATCTCTAACACTTATACCAAAACAATCTAGATTGATAAATAGCAGTAGTGGTAAAAAGGATAAATACATATTTTCAATTTTGGGGTGTGGATTGGGGTTATTATCTTAAATACAACTGATTCATTATAATGTTGTTGGTGGCTCAACACAGCCACTTTTAGCTCCATGTTATGGTTTTCCAGCTGTGTGGAATGAATGTTACCAATAGTTTTTCACATGAACATGCAGTGTGTGTGTCCTTTTGTGGGTTTGTTGATGTGGAGTTGGGCAGGCATACAATGGCAGCCATTGTTGAACTCGTGCAGTTATCCTGAACTGATCTGACATCTGCACCAGTGGACCATTTCTCTTGAATGTTGTACAGAATAATAATCAGTCCGGGGTTTGAGATATTGATCTGGAAACTCACAGTGGAGTCAAACAAATGACTGGATTTTTTATTATCATTTTTGCAAATCTTTCCCTTTTTTTGCCTGGAAACAAAGAGCGTCAGCAGAGTGTATACAGAGTGTGTGTAAAAAGGGCTGCTATGTGTGAGTCAACGCCTGACTCTGAACTTACAGTAAACTGACAGTCATCACACAGTTATTCATTTGTCATTTCCTTTCCCCTTCTTTCATAGGAACTGGTGTGCTTATGTGGTGACACGCACTGTCAGCTGTGTGATGGAGGATGGGGTCGAGACGTACATAAAACCAGACTATCAACGCTGTACCTGGGGCCAATGTCCTCGAGTTGCGTAAGTATCTAAAACCTCTATCCATTGTACTTCACATCTTCTCTGAATCTTCCTCAGTTCTGTTCCTGGAATCTAATCTGTATTCAACCTTTCTCCTCCAACTTCCTGACCTTCTGTTCCAAAGGTTGTATCCTCTATCTATCCATCTTCTCCTAATTTCCTGTCTATGGACACTGAATTCACAAAGCTCTTCATTTTCTCAGGAGAGTCTGGTCAGGAAGGTGTCTGGGTGTAGCTGTCGGTGTAGACAGAAACAGGCTTCAGCTCTTTTCTCATATTAACAGATAATGTCTGCAGTGTCAGGCAGCACATTGTCTGGAGTTTCCCTTTCACACATAAAGCACTCAATAGAAGAATTTCCGTGTCAGAAGCTTTCTCACTTACTGGAAACAGTCTGCTTTAGGCAGGAAGTAGTGCCTTGGTGGAGTATTCAGGAGGCGAGATATGAAACGGATGTACTACTGTCACTAAGCCAGTCTGTCATTTGGCCTTAAACACCTGAGTCTCTGGATATTAATTGAATTTGACCGATAATTTCGCCATTGGCAGAAAAGTGGCGAATTTCATAACGTTGCCAGTTGTATCTGTTGGCCTTTTGCTGGTAAATTACCCTACTTCTTTACCTTAAGATATTTTCCTACTGGTTTTTCTTGCTAGCCAAATGGAAATATCTCTGCTCACTTGCTCACCCTGAATGCCCCAGACAATGAGCAGCTATTTTCAAACATGGGTTAATAGGACTTTATACACTTATCATAGGCCAAGAACATTTGATGTCCGTTTCAAATGATTCCCATTGACATACTGTACAGCTCCTCCATGTAATGTTTAAATAATTTCAGGGTTGCAGTGCAAGTGTGAAAGGGGATATACTCAAAGCTCAGTGTTTGTGTGGTTAATCCCTAATAAGTCATACTGCTCTCAATCTCACACATTACTCTTGTGGAGCTTCTGTATGTCTGATGCAGACATTTGGAGCATATTTACTCTAGATATGATGGAAGGATTTTCCATATGTTGATGTTATGCACAAAGGCCTACATTAATCAAGCACTCGTGATGTTTTCCCTCTTTTGAAGTCTCACTATGTTGTCTAACCCTGGCCTGGCTGCCTGATCCCCATGCCTGCCAGGTGCCTCAGCCTAAACCTGGGCTATGCTAAGAATGAAGCCGACAGGAGTTCCAGGCACCACAGTCTAGTCTCCTACCCTGTGAAAACAATCTATTCTTCTTACTCCGTCTTTCTTTCTTTCTTTCTTTTTATGACTCCTTTCTTACTTGCTCCAGCCCCTCCTCCAGCCACCTCTCCAATTGCCGTTTTAGTTTTTCCTCTGAGAATACGACGGATCCCTTTTTCTCACGCTCTCAGAGCAAAGAGCTGGAATATGAAAAGTTTACTATGGCGCAGAAAATGCTCTGCGATACCTACAGTGGGGTTGGCTAAAGGAGAGCAACCTGCTAAGCTTTCACAGTCCAGGCTTGTTAATGTTGCCATAAATCTTTAGTGAGACTTCCGAACCATTCTGGTCTATTTATTGCATCGTTATTAACATAACTAACAGGGACTCTTAAGGCTAAGTGATCTTTTAATAATAAAAACTATCCAAATAATACTTTTTCACATGATTCGTCTTTGAGCAAGAAATCAAGATTTAGTAGGGCTAAATGCAGTTGATTTCTTGTGGAAAAACGGACAAGAATAACATTCTGAAGTACAAAGTACTCTAAATCCCATCAATCATCAAGCGATGATTTGGAGCTTTTTCCCAGACATCCAAATACTCAGTACACATTAATATCAACAGTGTACAACATTGGTATTCAATAAAAGGCCCAGGGACTGTTTTGGGCCGTCCGTTTTGTTATCCTGCAAGTATCAGGATCACACAAAATATAAGGTATTAATGTCATGGTGAAAGAAAAGAGTCCCAGCTCAGGTCCCAGATAAGTCTAAGGTCCAAAGACACAAATCAACAAGAATAAGAGTTTCAGCCTTGGTAGCAGCTCTGTGAGGCTGTATTTAGAAACAGTGGCGCTTTTAGCCTAATGCTAACATCAGCATTCTAAACAATGATAATGCTTACAGGTTAATGTTAAGTATGTATAGTGTCATGTTTGTTTAGAGTGCTAGCTTGCTAATATTTGCTAATTAGCACTGAATCCAGATGAGATCTGCACCTGAAATGTCCATATCATTCTCAGGTACCGGACATACAGGAGGCCAAGGTATAAGGTAGCTTACAAGATGGTGACAGAAATGGAGTGGAAGTGTTGCCATGGTTACTCTGGGCAAGACTGCAGCGATGGGCCAAAGGGAACCACGGACACTCAGGTCAATGGAGGGCGACCCGCTGTCACGACGCCGGTTATCAACCCAGGCGGCGGACAAAGAGGAGAAGGTAGGGTATAGTTCTATGTCATCAGGATGTACAGTATCTTGTCAGTTTTGAGCATGAATAAAAGAATGTCTTACTTTCAGAAATCTGATATGCAAAGAAAAACTAAAAACATATATATAGCCAAAGTAATTCAGTGGAAAGAGGCCAGTGCATCCTGGGACATGTAGGCACTGCTGGCACAGCCATGAGGGTTAGGGTTAGGCTTAGGGTTATCATTGGCACTTAGCTTTCTCTGTCAATGTAGCAAGCACTGAGGAATCCACTGTTCCAACAATTACATTTACCATCAAAACGAATAGGATATCTGCAAAAAAGTCAAGGTTTTTCCCTTTAAGACCCTGAATACTTGATATTAATTTAAGTATTTCTATAACAATAAATACATGCTACACTCTTAGAAATAAGGTGTAAAAAGGTTTTTTTAAGGGCGGAAGTTCCACCAAAAATCTTGAAAAAAATGTTTTCAATGAATGTTGAAAAAGCATGAGTGTAAAACAGATCCTGCCGGCCCACGTACAAGACGGTTATAAGTGAAACCTTACGAAAAGGCTATATTTAGAGCCCTGTATATCACCTTTTCCATCTGAGACCCTCTTTACTTCTGAATTTCTTCCAGTGTTGACAGCAAGGATAGAAACATAAGATAAATAAAGATACATATCATTTTAAATGACCAAAACGGTTCAGTGTTTACCAGGAAATGTATAGGCAAAAGAAAAAGGTATAGGCCGAAATAAGATTCCAAGCACCTTTAAAACCTCTATGCACGTTAAAGGACCCCACGTTCTGCTTGTATTTAAAGACTGCACATTTTGTATTTCAAATTGGCTGTTATTCTTTGTCTCCAGGTGACAGTGGGAAGATCAGACAGCTGGAGGAAACAATCCGTGGTCTGTCCAAAGACCTCCACAACATGCAGACCGACCTCACTGGCATAAACCGGAAACTGTATGTGGATGTGTTTTCCAATACACCATGTTTCTTGTTTAATTGTATTGTAGAGTGTATTCACATTCAAGCCTAAATTGATTTACAGTCAGGAAACTTGGCTGGCTTTACACAGTTAAACTTTAGTTAGTTGTAACTAAGTTGTAATTGATTTGCATGGTGTAAAGCTCTCTGCAAAACACTTACATGGGGAACATACTGTACTGTATATCCTTTCATGTTTATAGTAATTTATTTCAGCAGTTCAGTTTAGTGAAAGAGGGTACTTTGTTTATTAATATATATATACAAAGTTGTGGGAAGAGTAGGAAGATATAAATAGTTCATCCTTAACAAGAACTTAATAGGCTGCTATATAAATACACAGTCATTGACTTAAACTGTTCACAAGAGGAATCAGCTAAATTTAGACTTCATATAACTTTGCCGTATCGTTCCTGTGTATATGACATTTTTCAATTCAGCAATGTGGCAATGATTTTTTATTTTTTTCACTTTGATGTCGCATATAGTTATTTTATGACACATGTTAGCCACAACCTGAAGATATTTAAATGTTTCTTCTGTGTAGGACTGGTCTGAATGGGGCAATTGTCCCTTCTGATGCCGCTCAGCCACATATGAAGGAAACCATCAACAGCATCCAGACCAAACTGGACCATCTTTACAACAGGACACAGGTAAACTATCTACTACTTTTATTTTGACTTTTTTACAGTCTTTATGTGTTAATCAATGTGGACATTTGCTTGCTCAGGTCCATGATCAGACCCTGCTCAACATCAACAACCACCTGGTGAATGGAGGGGGTAATGAACTCGATGGAGCGGCCAAAGGAGGAGGAGGACCCGGGGGAAAGCAGATAAACACTCTGAAGGAGGAGATACTGACGGAGTTGGAGAGAAGGGTGTCTCTGTCCTGCTCTTCCTGCCAGGTGAAGCCTAATATGTAAAAGAGATTTCAGGCACAAACATCCCAGCTAGCGGGGAATGTTCTCACAACTTTGGCTAACGTTACCTACAGGTTCTAATAATGTTTTAAAGAAAACGTTTTCATCTGATGTTCAAAGAACCTTTTTAGGATGTGTATTATTTCAAATAATGTTCCTATAAGGTTTAAGTTTAACTAAGACATAACGTTTTAACTGCAACATTCAGAGGATGTTTTGAGGATGTTATTAAGGCCTGAGATGACAGAAAGTTTTTTATAAAACGTTCCTTTAATGTGATATGTTAACAAAGGTGGAACGTTTTGCCTGCAACATTCTGAGGATGTATTTTGGACGTTGTTGTGGTAACATATTATAGATGGTATTTTATAAAACATTCCCTCAATGTTACATGGTAACAAAAGAAGAACATTTTCAAAGCAACATTCGGATAATGTTTTCAGGAGGTTATTCTTTTTTTATAAAACGTTCCCTCAATGTTACATGGTAACAAAAGAAGAACATTTTCAAAGCAACATTCGGATAATGTTTTCAGGAGGTTATTCTTTTTTTATAAAAACGTTCCTGTGATGGCAAATATTAACACGGTCATGGTCAACGTCAGATATATTTGTAGAGCGCTTTAAAAAACAAACTTGTTGCATTTGTTTGAAAAGGATGTTTTAAAAAAATCTGATGTCATCATATTTTCCTTTTGAAAAAAACAAACAAGCACGTAATTCATGATAAGCTGTAAGCAGATATTGCATGTTTACGGTGGCATGTGTGAGTTCCCAGCTAGACATTTGTGGTTCTAAAAACATTCTGAGAATATTACCATTCATTGTTCTAGGAATGTTTTCAGCGGGACGTTTTAGTTTGGTTCCCAGAATGTTCTTCTGAAAGGTAGGATAACGTTCTTTAAAAACATTCTTGAAATGTTTGGTGATAACCTTCTTAAGATGTTTTTGATTACATTGTTAGAACATTATGCCCTACTATTCTTAAAACGTTTTCAGCGGGATGTTTTATTTTGGTTCCCAGAATGTTCTTCTGAAAGGTAGGATAACGTTCTCTAAAAACATTCTTAACATTTTTGGTGATAACTTTCTTAAGATGTATGAGCGCATTGAGACAATGAATAGGACGTATACAAAAAAATGTGCATGCCAATATTCACTCACATGCACTTATGATCACACTAAGGTATGGAGGCCCACAGTATTCATAATATCATATGTGTAAAATATCAGAAAATAATCACACTTTTTTCTGACTATAAAGGTTGTGTCTCGTATGTAGGTTCTAACTGTTAGATAAGCTATCTGGCCGTGTGTGGTTTGTGAGGCCTGCGTAGAAACAGTGTCCGCTGTTTATGCATAGTGGATCAAAATCGTTATTGCACCCTTTAGATTTGAGACAGACATATAGAAGAACGGACCGACTGTCACTGCCCGTCCCTGAAACCCCTGTTAGTGTTTGTATGTGTTTGTTTCTACTGTGTGTCTCTCTCTTATGTCTTTATGTTCTAATAATGTTAAAATATTTTAGCACAGAACATTTGCATAATGTTTTAAAAGTAAAGCACGTTGTCCTACTCTAAAATAATAACATTCTGGCAACATAAAAAAATCTAACTTGCAGCTGAAAACGTTTTAAGAATAGTAGGGCATAATGTTCTAACAATGTTATCACCAAACATTTTAAGAATGTTTTTAGAGAACGTTATCCTACCTTTCAGAAGAACATTCTGGGAACCAAAATAAAACTTTCTCAGAATGTTTTTAAAACCAAAAATGTCTTGCTGGGATTACTCTACTTTATTATAGCCATTTGTTTGATTTCTAGTTGTAGTTTGGGTAGCTGTGAAATGTGCATGGTCTTTATACTCTGTGGGCTTCTGCAAGTGATTTCTGCTGCCTACAGCACTAAAAAAAAGAGCAGCCACATTCGGGCAGGCAGGCAGTAAAACGAGAAAAAGACATTCCCTCGTAAACCGGTTTACCAACAAAAAATGAAACATAAGAACAGAACTGCAATAACAACAAAATTGTCAAGCAGTGAAGAAGGATTTAAAAAGTGGTTTGGAAATAATAACAGGGCTTGGATTCAAGATAAACAAACACTTTCTGTCTAATTTGAAGTTTCACTTGCCTTATGTTCAAGCACAATCCTGGACCCCTGGGCTGTAGCACATAAAAGGCCCCTCTCTGCTACCTACCACAGTTCCCCAACCCCCCGTTGTTTACAGTTGTTTTTCATCTTTTTTAATTTTGTCGGTGTTAAGGGTTGAAAGCTGCACTTAATCTGCAGTGTTTGAATAGTTCATATAGGAGATAAAGAGAGGCTGAACAAAGCCTTTCCCATTCTTCCTACCATGTCAGATCAGGGTTATACTTTCTTATTATATTTATCTACAAACACATATATTTATTTTATTTAATTTCCTTTTAATTCAGTAAAGTTGTCCTGTTGTCTCAGTGAACATTGTGCAGCTAAATGTACATAGGTAAAATCATAACCAAAATAACGATTCTTTTTTTTAGACTATTGGCAAGAATCAGGAGCAGAAGTAGGGTTCAGAACAGAACCCTACTTTTGAAGGAGCTCTTTGACCTTTTAACGGAAATGGTTAAAGCACTAACTAAAAACAGACCCCTGACTTTGTGGGCCTCAGCATTAAGTAATCTATCAATGTGTGCTATAAAGGGGCTATGCAAGTTCAGGAGTTCATGATTTGTTTGTTGTCATATGTCAGTCAACAGGATTACAGAAAAAATAAAGGTCCGATTTTTAAGTAAGTAGTTTGAAGGGTGTAGCATTGGCCAAGGAAGAACCCATTAATGTTTTATTGGATCAGAATGCACTAGTTGTTTTTCACTTTCCAAAACATAGTGAGATAAGGCAGAGTTCTGCGCTCTCCGAGAGTCCTTCTAGTTGAAATTGAAGAAGCAAAACAACTTTGCAGTTCAGAGTAGGATGGCCTCTGAAAAAAGCAAGAGGTTCATTTCTTACCTGATTTAAATCTGCCAAATGTTGGTACAAACTGTAGGTGGGTACCTTACTCAACATGAGGCTCAGTGGGCGCGATTTGAAAACACTAAGATAGCAAGTTACAAATAACTTACGAAAGGACCATTGCCATTCACGTTAATCAAAAGATCCAACTGAAACAACTGGTTAAACTAATTCAAGTCCTCCTATTCTCTGTTCCCTCCAGGCCGGTGTAGAGGACCTGAGGCGCCAGCAGCAGGAAGACAGGGAACGAATCCAAGGTCTGGAGAAGCTGATCAGCTCCCTGGATGTACACCTGAGGCAGAGCCTGGACATCTCCCGCAGTGAGACCCAGCGCTCCCAGGCCTGCTGCAACACCGTCACTGAGCTTGAGAAGAGGCTGTCGGGTCTTGAGGTCCGTGTCACCTCCACGGCTAACAAGTGTGACACAATCAAAGGACGGCTGGATAAGGAGCTACCTGGGACCGGTGGAGGAAAGGGAAGAGTGACAGAAGACAGGTTGAATGGCAAACTGAGAGAACTGGAAAAGAGGGTGAATAACACAGTGAGGAAGACAGAACAGAGGTGTACTAACACCGGGAACAATGTGAAGGACAATGTCCAGAGGGACGTCACGCAGCTGCGCAACATGTTCCTCAGTCGGCTGGATGACCACAGCTTCAAGATCGGCAAGATAGAGCTGGACGTGTCTGTTCTCGGAGATACGGTCACTGACCACAGTCGGCGTTTAAGCCAGCTTGAGAACATCACAACCTTCCTGGACAGAAGGTTAACATCTACCACAAACATGTGCAATGAGACGTGCGGGCCGAACGGAAAAGACCGTAAGACAGATGACACTGTGAAAACATTACAGTGGAGAGTTGTTGCCAACCAAGACGACATCAAGAAGTTTAACACTAAGTTAAATGACCTGTCCGTGACAGGGGACTCAATAATTGACAGAGTGATCAACTTAACAAATGATGTCAAAAAGATAATAGCTGTGACAGGGGAGAGCGGTGAGAATTTCAACCGGATTGTCACAGAGGTTGAAACGTTGGGAAACGATATAGAGGATTGTTCTGTTTGCAGCAGTATAGACGAGGACTTGCGCAAGCTAGCCAACTCCACCAAGTTTGGCCTCAGCAAGTGCCAGTCAGATCTGACTGATCTGCGGAAAAAGGTGGACTCAGGAGAAACTGTCTCCTCTCAAGTGTGCTCCAACCTTCAGGAGGAAGTGGGACGACTCAGAGAGGAAGTGGAGGAGTGTACCGGACAGTGTAAGGTCAACATCAACGATCTGAAGAAGCGCCTGGATGGTCATGGTGTCCACAATGGAAAATTAGGAGGCGATCTGAAGTCCATCCAAGGAGAACTGGCTGAGGTCATAGTCACGTTTAACTCCATCAATGACACTCTGAAGGGTCTGGGAAGGACTGTTCAGACACATGGGAACACGCTGACTGATCTGACCAACTCCAAGGACAACATCTTCTCTGAGGTAAGATGACATGGTGATGATGCAGATACCATATGTGGCTATGCAGCTGACAGAAATAAAATACTATAGTGTATACTTATATACTGTATATATAGTTGGCCTTTAAACTAAAGCACTGTTTTATCATGACCAGTGTCCTATATTGTATTTGCCAATGAGTATAACAATTTAAAAAAAGATTTATGTTCCCTTTTCAGATTTCTTAATTTCAATGGCTTTTTAAAGAGCCCTGTTGTAGCCAAGAGTACATTAAAAAAAAGCTTTTTTATAAAGCATATTTTCTGTAATTCATTTTGTTTTCGTCCACATAAATGTGGGTCTCTGGGTCCACCCACAAACTATAATATAAGACAACACAGTTCGTTTTTTTCTTTTTGGGCTGCCAAAAGTTCAGAAAACATTCTAAAAGCCAATCAGATGTTGCTCCCCTTCCTATGTCACATGCAGTACATAGGAATGCTGTCGGAGTATCTGATTCCAATGCTTAAGAATAACCTTTGCAAAGGTGAAACACATTATCTCTCAGGTCAATCAGAGTTTATTCATTATTTTACAAAAACAAGACTTAAGGCCTTTTCACAGTATTGCAGTTTAAGCTTCTGCATTGTATTTTCCATATAAATCAACCAATCACATTTGCCTGTATTCCTACGGATTATAAAACAGCAACAGAGGATCTGTAGTGCAAACCAAGACACTCAAATAATAACTCCTTTCAATGTTGATAAAAGCAGAACATACCAGATCCACTCCTACTGTTTTTAACTTGAAATATAAGTGCTAGATACATAACATTCAAAGGCGAGTATTTAGTGTAATTGTGTTGTCTATTTGTCAAGCCCCTGGGGTGTAAACACCTTAAGTGTGTGTAGCCATGCTAGTAGCCCTGCAAGGCTGCACAGCAGTGCTTTGAGCTAAATGCTAACATGCTCAAAATTACAATCCCAATATACTTGCGGTTAGCAGGCATGTGCTTATTTTACAGGCTTAAAAACGTATTATAGCTGAGGCTGGTTGGAATTTCATTGGTGCTTTGATGTTTTGGTAATTATTCCAAATATACAATAAGTTTAAAAAGCAATACATCAGATTGTGGAAGACCGGCTGCTGTGCCTCAAAACACATCGCTATTCTGACAAAAAACAATTAGTTAAAATAATAATTATGCTTTCTAGCACAATATAATTATCCGCCATGTTACTTGTTGAACATGACCCCTCAGATTTATCATGTTACCCCATTGGGCATCTCGAGCCACATGTTGGGAAGCACTGTACTACATGTAGAACTAGCCCCCTCAGAACCAAACAAAAAACATCAAGCTACCCTATTATGATAATGTTGATGGTAATGCGTTTATTATCTCATAATGTGTATATTTATTAAATGAATGTACATATTGAAGTCAAACCACTCTTTATGGACTTTAAAACAAACAATGGTTATCTTGGCAACAGTGTTTTCACATAATGTTGTTATAGTTAGGAAAATATTTGAGTGTATTACAATCAGTTAAGTCTTCTTGACTGACATGGCTTGAATAATAGACTTACATATTTTTGTGTGCATAAGATACTTTAAGAAAATAAATCATCTTCACACAAAGATACAAAAAAAGTACGTTTATTTTAAAAAAGGATCCAAAATACACACATTGACACGTATCTACATTCTCCTCAAGGTGGACGATTTGCAGAAGGAGCTGACAGATCACGTAGATGACTCGAAGATTCAATTCGACAACATGGGCAAAGAGATCCAAATAATCAGGAGCAACTATGTGACGGAGGTGGGGGAGTGCCGGCGGTCCAGCGACGGCCTGGACAGAAGACTCTCGAAGCTGGAGGGAGTGTGCGGACGCTTCGACTCTTTTTCAGACAGCCTGGTGAGGATCAAGGAGGGCCTGAACCGACATGTGTCTGGGCTCTGGAGCTGCGTTAATGGACTCAACGTCACCGTAACGTCTCAAGGAGATCACATCGACAATATCCAGAACGTCCAGCTGGTGAACGTCCACTCAGACATTAACAGACTGAACTCTTCAGTGTTGGACTTGGCCAAGGAGTTCCACAGTTTCATAGAGCAAGACTTCATGGGTGAGTCGCAAGGGGACCAAGGGCATGGAATTTGACTTTTGGAGAAGAGATAATCAAAAAGGGAGGCTCGGTCTGGGGAAAAAAGACCAAAGAAAGAATTCAAACTGTCATCTTGAGAAGCATGTACTTAAAAAGTCTGCAATCAATCTGAAAGAGGAGTTTTAGTAAACATGAGGGTGAAAGGCTCATCCTGAGGCATCGCAATGTCTTAGCTTTTGTTGGCTTACTTTAGAAATATCCTTAGAGAAACTGCTAAAGAAGATTTTCAGAAGTTTCCCAGCTGCGATGTCTCATTAAACATTATTCTCTCCTAGGTCCACCTGGTCTACCGGGCCCCCGTGGAGCAGAAGGCGAGAGTGGAATCCAGGGTCCTATCGGATCCCAAGGGAGGGTGGGACCTCAGGGCAGAGAGGGCAGGCAGGGACAAGCTGGACCCCCAGGTAAAGTCAACAATGTTTTTGTAATTTCATTACATTTAGAGTATTATAACAACATCTTCAAGCTAAGATCTTTGTCTCGTCACATATACTAGGGAAATATTCTCATAAGATTAAAATAAAGTTAGGGTTAGGGTTAGAAAGAATGCAAGAAACAGCTAGAATGTTTTTTTTGGATGATGTACTCACTGTTTTTATCTTTCATCTTACTCCTCAGGTCTCAGAGGTGAACAGGGTATGTGTTGATCTTACTAAACAGCAGATGAAAGCAAGTTTTACTGTTTGATCTTTATTTCATCCCTAATTCTACTCTCTTGTTTTCTCCACCGTGATCAGGACTTGCAGGGTCTGATGCCCACGTGCCACGCCTTTCTTTCTCTGCGGCACTGACTCGACCCATGAGAAGTGCAGGAACCATCGTGTTCAACGAGATCTTTGTCAATGAAAATAACTCCTACGATCCCAAGACAGGTGAGCCTTAGTTCAGTCACAAAATCAGTACTCCAATTTACCTAAAGTAAAAGTTGTTATTTTTTATGTAAACTAAGACTGTCAGTTCACTCCAGTTACTAAAAGAAAACACCATTTTAATTTGGCACTGAACCTACATTAGCTGTGACAAGTAGCAAGGAATGTCATATTCTTCTTATAAATATGTTATAATATATTATTCATTCATTGCCATGTAGGTAGTAGGTGTTTTTGAGCGACGAATTTGCACATCAAAGTATTTTTCTGAACAGTTTTTTTGACACAAATGCTTTCACTCAGAACGCAAACATTACACGTGAAGTTGATTTTCTGAGCTTCCACACAGCGAATGAAGGCACCAACCAATCACGTTTTGCATAATTGGATATCATCTTCAAATGTACAGTTTAGTAGTGTAGCCTTAGTTGGAGTTGTGCCTATATTTATAATAATACAATAACATAGAGGCTTGTTGTCCAAATGTAAATGTGAGCCTTTATTATTCCTTTTAACTTAGACAAAGGCAGTGAATACCAGACCATCTCTTTCTGTTTTTCTTTCTGCACACGGCCCCTTATCCAACCTGCAAATATTATTTTTCATCAGAAAAAAAAGTGCTGCAGCGGCATTCTGTTGTGCTCCGTCAGCACTATACCCCTGAAATTGACCTTCAAAGTTCATGAAAATTACTCAATAAACAATTCTACATGACAGCAAATGCACCATTTTTAGATTACATATGATCTGCTTCCCTCCTCCAGGTTACTTCACAGCTCCAGTGAGTGGGAAGTACTTCTTCAGCGGCATCCTCACGGGCCACAAGAACATGAAGATCGAGGCCGTGTTGTCCAAGTCCAACACTGGCGTGGCCCGTGTGGACTCAGCCGGATATCAGCCTGAAGGCCTGGAGAAGCCCATGGCCGAGGCCAAACACATCCCTGGAGCTCTGGCTGTCTTCAACATCATCCTGCCCATGGAGGCCGGGGACACCGTCTGCATCGACCTGGTCACGGGCAAACTGGCGTTCTCCTCGGAACCGTTGACCATCTTCAGTGGGATGCTGCTGTACGAGACCATCTGATTGGATGGAGTCCCATTATAATCAGTCTCTCTGGGTGAAACTTGCAACATGAGAGCATTGTAGTTGGACTCAAAAAGAGCCACTGCCTGAGCAGTCAAAGAGACTGAAATAGCTGGACTGAATGAATTCAGCAAGGAAAGAAATACTTTATAATTTGACCTTACGTGCTATGAAGGAAGGACAACAAAAAGTTGTTTCCAACCACAATCATTTTGGTGTGTCTCACAGCTTTAAGGAAACTATTTGTGCAAAGAGCCATTGTGTTTTTTATTCTATGATGTGTTGCCTTTAGAAAAAGGCCACTGAAGAGTTATATTATAATTACATATTTCATGTTGTTCTTTAAACTTGAATTCTTCCCTGATTCCACCAAGATAGCCTTCAGGTCTTTCGTGTGCCAATGAGAGGACATAGGGGGGAAATGAAAAAAGATTAAAGATGTGGACGTCTTTCTGCTTTTATGTGTAATCTGCCCACAGCATATCAAATGTTCAGAGGTTATCGCACACCATTTGTTCCTGTTTATAATATAGTTCCTTTTTCTCCATGCTCACAGTTTCACTTTGACCACAAGCAAATTCCCAGAAACACAACATTGACTGCCAATTGTTTTGGAAAACATGCAGAGTGATGTAGGCGGAGGCGACACAGTCCAAACCACTATTCTTTAGAAGGAAGTGCACAAATGAAGTCACTGACAGTTCATCCTAGAAAACCACAGGATTTTATAAATCCTACATCAGCAAAACAATAAGCCCATTTTAGGACATCAGCTATGCCCAGAGAAGGGAGGAGGAAGGTGGACAGGGGGAAGAATGTCTTTGTTTTGTACCTCTGTCCTAATAAGGGCCATCTTAACTCGGTGGAGGATCAAGTCGTTGAAGTTATGAGGCTGTTACTATCATTCTATCTTACTGTGGAATTCTTGTGTAAAGCTAAGAATAACAAACAATGAAGCTGAACCCTTGTCTCTATGCAACAAATCCCATGTCTTCCATGAATACACACACTTCCTGCCTTTAGAAGTCTTATTAAAAATGTCTCCAGAAGGAAAAATGTGCACAATATCAAGTTCGTATATATTTTTGGATGGAATTTAAAAGGAACATTGCACATTTTTTAGACAATACAACAGATTGGCTTATATCTGATTACATTTACCTTACGGTGGATAATACATTTTCCTCATTCAGTGTGGGAGTGTTATTTTATGGTTCTATGCATTGTATAACCCCGAAGGAATGTAAATATTTTTCAGCCCGTATCATATTTGTATGAGTTACCACTTCACCTTGCCAGGTATTGTGTATGTTTTGTATGTTTTTGCCACAAGTGTGCCTCAAATACAGACACCCTGTTTTACACATCTGATGTCAACAGTCTCACTTTTATCCTCTTTGTGTTCCTTTATTAAATGAGCAAGGATGTGCCAGGTTCAACTCTCCTCTCAAATCTCTTTCTCTTGACTTCAGTAGGTTAATTTTAGCTCAAGACTTCAAGGAGATGATTAAAAAGTGTTTTCTTATGCTGCACTGCAGTGACACCTTGTGTTCAGCTTCATGTTCCAAATGCTGTTGCTGAAGAACCTTTTAAGAAGTCCCTTGAAGGAAGTATTTTAAGGAGTATACCTTGTCTCTCCCATTGTTTGCGCATTCATTACTTATCAATGGGAATTGCAGGTCTCTTTATTAACCTCTCTGTGCTTAATAGCTGTCATTTCAGTCTCACTCACACGAAGTCATCCCCAGGACTATGTAAAATGATCCATGCACCAGTGGTCAACGCAAAGAACCAGTAATTCTACCTAGGCTACGTAAGATGTAGGGTGCAGATGAGATGGGACGTATATAAACATGTTTATTTTGGTAGTTCTATGTTGTTCCAGGAAGACGAGCATCACTTTGTGGAAGCTAATAAGTGTCCAAATAAGGCATGACAAATATTGATTTCTGTCCTGTCAGAAACATCTGATTGTGGATGGTATGATATCGTAAACTGTATAAAATGGATGATTCCCAACAAGTGACACTTCTGAAATGCAACATTTAGGTGGAAGAATTCAGATATTTTATTTAAGCAAAAGTATTAACATCAACATGTAAAAATACTCTGTTACAATTCAAAGACCTGCATTTATGTTTTACCTAAGTAAAAATGCATAGGTAGTAGTAGCAATCAAGTACATTTGAAATATTTTTGGACTTAAATATATTATATCGCAGGATTATATTTGTTGATCCATAAATGTGAAGTAATTTTATTTTGCAACTGGTAAAAAGCTAACTTCAATTAATTGGATATGAATCTATGATAGTACATCGTAATTTTAATTATAATTTAAACTTGAAAATTAACTAGTAACTAATGTTGTCATATAAATGTAGGGACTTAAAAAGTTTGCTTTAAAAAATAGTGAAGTAGAAACAAAAGCATCATAAAATGCAATTACTCAAGTATTCTTAAAGTGCCTGAAAATTGTAGTTAAGTACAGTACTTAACAAAATGTAGAGAGTTACTGCCAACACTGCATTTAGATAATAAAGTGTGGCTGGTGTCAACGCTAATCCATTATGTTGAATGAATATAATTAAAATATGTTTATGTATATTGTTACTTTATCTATATGTTAAATATGCTATGCGTTAGGTAATGTACATATTGCCTTGCCGCAGTAAAATATCCAGCCACAAGCTTCTTATTACCGAGCTCATGTCCAGCACTTGAAAGCATCATCAGACACCACCAAAACACAACATATCCGGGATTCCCACGCGGGCCGTTGCCATGGAGCTGAGTTTGTTTCTATTCTCCGGCTACCACAGAGTGAAAGGTTGTGCTTTCAAGTAAAGTAAGGACTTTGTAGAAAATGTCGGCGTAACTCAGACTGTCCTGGATGTGCTGGGTATGCGAACGACAAAGTGCAACGAATTTTCGAGTTTTTAAGCACGGTAAGAAGCGCGTGCCAAACAAGCACACTTAACAAGCTAACGTTATTTACCTTCAATCTAGCTTAAGTTGTGCACTTGAGTTGTTGTGTGTCAAGGTTTATCACGTTACATTGGCTTTTTGTGTATTTGTATGCCGCCAAATATTATTTGTTTGCGTTTATGAGGCGTTACTTTTGATTGTTCTAATTAAAAGTGTAACATTAAGGTCAAAACAGGTCAACGGGTACGGGGTTATACGGAATTAGATGTTCATTTACACAGGTGACGTTTACGCTGGATATACAATCATATCTATTTGAATTAAGAAAATGGTAAATAAGTAGCTAGTAACTAGCTTACATACAATGTGGTGTAACGCCACTGTATGTGCAGAGGTGGGACTAAGTACTCAGATATTTTACTCAAGGAAAAGTAGCAATAATACAGCGTAAAAATACTAAGTTAGAAGTAAATGTCTTGCATTAATTGTTAAGTTACAAATTGACTTAAGTCGAAGTAAAAGAGAAAAAGTATTAGCATCAATACTTTAAGTACCAAAAGTAAAAGTACTCGTTATGCAGAATGGCCCATTTAAGCACCATATGTTTTACATTTTTGTATTATAAGTATTGATGCATTGATGTGCTCATCACTTCAATGTTGCTCTTGATAAAAGTGGGGTTTAACTTGCAGAAGTTACTAGTTACTTCTGCAAAGTAACTAGTAACTAAATATGTAAAATAAATGATGTAGTGGAGAAAAAAGTAAAACATTGGCCTAAATGTATTATAGTATATATTTTCCTAATATATAAGTATATAAAGTACCATAACGTGAAAATACTCAAGTAAAGTACCTCCATTTTTATTACTTAAGTACATTCCTTGAGTAAATGTTCTTTACATTTCACCTCTGGTAATATCTGAGTAAAACTGAGCTGAAACTGCAATTTAGCCTTAAGTTAAAGTAAAAAATGTACTTACATTAACTTACGGTAAAATATTGTATTATATTAAAAAAAAAATGACGGCCATTTAACTTTAACTTCCTATGTTTATATAAATATATTTATTTTATTTTATCTTTTTATTGCTCATTCTCAATCATGTTATTTATAATTGTTATAATCTTTTGATTTTCTTTTTTAATGTTATAACATTCTTTAATGGAGCAATTATCCCAAATCCAAGTTTCCTTTACCTGAAAAGAGTGTTCTGATTCTGAAAACTAGTTTTTGGTGAAGTAACGTGAACATGGAAAATAATACGATGCTAAAACAAAGCAACGCAGGTTTGATTTACTGACTTTTTGCTATGCTGTTTCACAGACTGTTGTTCAGTTACATAACTCACAACATGTGTGCTCCGAGGTTTGATTTGTTAATCAACTATAAAAACCCATTGTAAAAAACCAGCCTGGATAATACTGACTTTTAAAAAAAAACACACATTGCTTCCACCCTTGAACATAAGCTTGTTTGTCTGCATCGTTGTCAGGAAGTCATATCTCTTTGTTTTTCTTTTAAACCAGCCCCTCTGACACTATCATGAGTGGCAGAGTCGCAGAGGGCCACCTTCAGGTCCTACAGATTTACCGCCTGCTGCAGTGCGTCCATGAAGGGGATAAGGCTCATATAGAGAAGATGGTGAACCTCGGGGTGAAGAACCTCATCAATCTCACTGAGCCACACGAGGGCACAGGGGCGCTGCACGTGGCAGTGTCAGCCAACAACCAGGGTGATGTGCCTCTTCTTTACTCAGTGACATTCAGTGGTGGAAGTGGAAAATATAAGAGTTTTCAGATCCTTCACTTAAGTAAAAGTATTAATACCACTCTGAAAAAATACTCTCATACAAGTTAAGGTATGCAACTAAATGTTCCCTTTCATTGTTTTATGATAAAAGATCATGTTTTCATATTGGTCTGACACCATTATAGATATCTTATTATGCATATTGCTTTATGTTGCACTTTACTGCTGCAGAACTGTCTGGTTTGCTCATTTGAACTCCCTTGTACACGGTTTGATGATTTAATCAAAAATAAATACTTCATATTTCTCTGAAATCATTATGTTTGTAGCTTTGTCGCTGTTGAAATCATGTTTCTCACACGTTTCACAAAAAACCCCAGAGAAAAAGCGCTGCTTTCCGTTTCGTGATAATGTCTTTTTTGTGAAAATCTAAGATGTTTAAAAAATAGTTAATTTATCTTAAGAAGTAGGAAAGTTGTCTCAACCCCTAAAGAAACAATGAATTATTTAGTTTATAAGAACACATTTTATTAAATTATGTTTGTTTTTTACAAGACAGGAAAAGCAATAAGAGTGTTTTTTATTTTTTTCTTGAATTTATTGATTAAATCTTAATCTTCATGCAAGGCATTTTTGCTGTACAGTAGCTTCAGTAATGTCCTAATTATAAAAGTGTATTTCAAATCAAAGTTTATTTATAAAGCACATTTAAAAGCGATTTTTGGTCGGGCCAAAGTGCTGTACATGTAATAAATACTACAATCACATAAAAACACATTACTACAATCACAATAAAAGACAATAAATTACAACAGATATATAAAAAACACAGGGAAAAGTCAGGAGTCGTGCTCCGCTCTGACTAAAAGGCCAGGGAGAAGAAGTGTGTTTTAAGAGTAGATTTAAAAACCCCTAGGGTCTGGGCCGACCTCACATGGAGGGGCAGAGTGTTCCAGAGCCTAGGGCCAGCTGCTGCGAAGGCTCGGTGCCCTCGGGTTTTGAGCCTGGTCTTGGGCACTACCAGCAGCAGCTGGTCAGCAGACCTTAAAGCTCTGGCTGGGGTGTAGCGCTGGAGGAGTTCAGCTATATAGGCCGGAGCCAGCCCATTTAGGGCTTTGAAAACAAATAAAAGGATTTTAAAATCAATTCGGAACCGAATTGGAAGCCAGTGCAGTGAGGCCAGAATTGGGGTGATGTGGTCACGCTTTTTGTATTTACATGCTAAGAAGTTTAAGTAGTTTGTAAGATGAATCTACCAGGCCATAATATGCACTGCAAACTAAAAGGTCATGTTTCAAAGTGACTTTATTATCCTGACTGTTTCTCTTCCCCACATGACTCCTTACAGACTTGGTCAGCTTCCTTCTCTCCCAGGGAGCACACCCTAACATCCAGGACAAAATGGGCCGCACCCCGGCGATGCTGACTGCAGAGCACGGCAATGATGTCATCATGACACTGCTGATCCAGAATAACGCTAATCTGAGTCTCCAAGACTCAGAGGGAAAAGGTGAGCAATACTTAGTACTCACCTTTATATTGTAAGAAAGATTGATATTTATAAATGAATACAAAGTTTTATTTTTCTGATAATTTGCCAGCCAGTGGCAGACTTTAAGATCTCTAAGAGGGAAGCTCCAGTAACACAAAGGGGTTGCTAAACGTCAAACGAAGCTAGTATAACATGTACTGTCATGTGCCCATACTTATCTGTATACTACATTATAAAAAGCAAAGTGTCAGACAGGTGCGCAGAATTGACCT